CTTTGATAACGAAAACTGGTTCCGGCGAAGAATGTTGGAAAAGATATGTCGAAAAAAGATAGCCTTTTCAGATGTTTACTCAACAGCATTGAAACAAAGGCATAAAATAATTCTTGAAATACATGGAGAGAAAAATTTTGTTGAGGTTGCATCTGCAAATGTGTGCGATACATCTCCGCAATTGCCGATTGCCTCTTTTTCTCTCTGTTTTTTCTCTTTCTCTCTCTTTAATTTGTAGGGGAGGGTAAAACCAAAATAATTCAATTTACAATAAATTTAATTTGTTCGGAAATTGGTAGCACGCAATAACACAATAAAATAAATCCTTGTCGGAGCAATTCCTATAAAAAATGTAAAGAATTGCTGTAATTTTTTATGAACACTGTATTGAAACAAAAGTTGTATACATGCGTTATTCTTTACGTACGTTATTCTTCAAATTTTAATATGACTGAATTTATTTGTATTTGTAAAATTTACGAAGCGCACTTTGTAGAAAAATTAAATTAAAATCAAATTTATACAACTTCTCTCTCTCTCTCTCTCTCTCTCACTCACTCACTCACTCACTCTCTCTCTGTATGTGCTTCTATGGATAAAAATACTATCCAACAATTTCAAAGCATTCCTAACAAATTAAGTCCGGTACATTAAGAGATAATTAATTTAATACTTCGGTATACAAATTTCTGAGAAAACTCACTAATTGGCTTTGGCGTGGGTATTAATGAGAAAATAAAGTTATAATTTATTAAATTTAAATCATATAAAAACACTATTAAAATTTTTAATGTCGATTGTTTAAAGTTTTTAAAATAATCTAAGGGATTTTTTACATTATAAAATTCTATGAATTCTTAGTTTTTTATATATATAAATAAAATAAGCAATCAAGAATATTTTAATTAAAATTACATCGTAGATGAACGTACAGTATGTGTAGTTGCTTTAGGATTATTGATCGCCGCTAATGTATCGAATACTTAGAAAGCACAGCACCATAGCCATGTTAGTGTACGGGTAACCTTGCTCCATTGAAATAACGGGTCTTGAACACGACGATTTAATTCATAACGACCACTTAATGCACCCTGCGTGATGCCCTAAGCTAAGCATGACTTAACCTCCACACTTCGTGTACCCCACAAGCATCGATAATCCGAATCGAAATCTGTATACATCAGATATGTATATTAATATTCCGATAGAGACATTGGTATTCCAATTAACGAATAGCGTAAGTTCCGAATTTAAATACTCGTAATAATTCGAATTTCGTGCGTGCACATCAACTAGATAATTTTGTAACCGACTCGCATAATTCTTCGAACATATTAATCGTGCATTTGGCAATTTTTATTTTGGCGTTGCGACTTCCCGCTTTGTATCGTTGCAACATAGAAAGGTTTGGTATGCGATAAAAAGGTGATTCATTTATTACATGTACGGCTAACCTCGTGGGATTGGAATTACAAGTCTTGGACGCGACCGTTTAAATTATGACCGGCACTTAATGCACTCCGTGTGTAACTATAAGCCAGAGCAACTCGACGACTTCATAGAGGCAGCGTGCCAGGAACTCGTAATTGTTTTGAATTAACGATACTTTAGGTTGCGCCCAACTGCGAACCATTATGCGGTTCGTCCATAACGATTGTACGATCCGATTGTAGTACTGGTATATATATATATATATATACAGCTGCATCCTCTGCTTTAAAAAAAGTAATTTTAAAAAATCACTATTTTTACATCCGTCGTGATTTCGAAGTATTAGGATCTCATTAGTGACGCTCGTGCATTTCGATCTGTTTAATCACGCACAGTCGCTTTTATTACTTTAAAAATAATTGCACAACGGAAGCTGGAAGTGGCGTTTCATGTACTAGAAAAATGCAAATTCGCCGTACGTCCATTAACTGGCGAAATAAATATTTCGGCGATTTTTTTCGTTAAGGAAGAAATGGTTGACCTGCTTTTTGAGGCCATGACACACAGTGCCGTTAAATCTAGTTTAATCAATGGACGTGCCATGTTACGTACATAGCATATACAGTGCGCGAGCATATACATCGTGCATACAAACGATACAGTAACAAGAATGGCGTTTACCGATTCTCTTTTTAGAGTGTCTTCAAAATGCATGTTTAGTAATAGGTGACCGATTCGATTGACTTTAAATTTAAAAATCTGTTAAATTAAATTCATATTTAAATGGTTTTATCGTCAATCTGTGCTTTTACAGCTTAATTCGTCGAAGTTCTTCCATTTTTAACTGCTTGTATATCAACATTGACGTTCCTGTCGAAAACGAACGTTATTCTTTTAGTTTAACATGTAAAATCTGTAGCCAGAGTAAATTGGATAGGGCGCTGTACAAACGCTTGAATATAACACAAAGGTTCACGTTTCAAGCTAAATATCACTGAGTTAACGAGCCTTTTTTTGACGATTCTTCTATTTTCTTTCTTCAATATGATTACTATTTTGTTATTAATAAAACAAATGTTTTATTTTTAAAAAAAGCCGCACTGGAAAAAGCGTCTGGTTGCATTAATTTTGGAATTTTGGTTAAAAATGAACAAATCAGATTTTGTTGAATCTATTAAAATTCCAGTTGAGATATATATATATAAAATCAGAAATTTGGTTGATGTGAATCAGAAACTTCTGATTCGTTTATTTCCAGAAATTGTTCTCAATGCATTATTCATATTACATTTATCAGTGGTACATTTATTCGTTTAATATATATCCGGATGGACGTATCCGATTTATTGCAAATCTGTGGTTTTGCGTTCCAAGTTTTGTGACGATTGATTAAAAGGGGCTTATTTTCGCATTTTCGATTATATTGCACCTCTCACGCACCTCGAACGATCAATGCAAAATATTTATGAATATTTTAGACACATTTACGACACGTTCACTGATGTATGTAACGAACGTGTTAGGCTAGGATAACTGGGACGGCGATATTAATATTGATAGAGTTTATCTTTATTTAATGAGAGGTGAAAATTAAACGAAATAATTAATTAACGTGAAATCAATATGTCGTGGCGGTAGTACGTGAAAATCATAAATTGACAAATTTTAGTTGCGCGTGCCCGATATATCGCGAAGGTACAATGGCGCGTTTGCGCAACGACAAACATTTTTCTTTCCCGATATTCGCGAGAATGCCGAAAGTTTATATTAAGGCAAATGCATGCGCGGCCGCGGCGAGTGATGCTTATGACGCACCGGTGAATTATCGGCGGGCATCGGGTAATGCTCGTGACGGGGAACATATTAAAAGTCTGATATATTATGCCGTTCCCGAGACATTTTATCCAAACGCCATTTTACGTATCTGTAACTAGACACTTTGTTGAATGTCGCAAAAGAATTACAGATCTTTTATAATTATCGTCCTTTTTCAGGCGCGCGCTCTTTAAATCGCGAGAGAAAAAGACCGACGCGTTCTCCAAACGTTCCTAAACGTTACATATCTCTGACAAGAGTTGAGAATAAGTTAAATTTATGACACGTAAAAGACGGAAACGCCTGTAATTATATGACTAATGTACTACAGGAGAGGAGTGATAAAAGTTACAAAGAACAAGAAGATATTTTAACATTTCATCTTTTCCTGCATAATTTAAAGAAGAAATTTCTTACCGTCCCAGACAGCACAGAATATTCATGATAAATATTTATTACTATTCATTTTTTGAAATGTTATAAATATTAAATATTTTATACATATTTTATATAAAGTTTTATTCGAAATATTATAATATAAAATATTTAGTCTATATTAAAATATGGATTAAATGTTTTCTATAATATTTATGATAAATATTAATAAAATAATTATTCAAAGAGCATAAAAGCCAACGCATGATATTAATGCAATGTCTATTTATCCTTCTTATATATAACGATAATATAACGATAAATGTTTCGATCTTAGATTAAATCATCTTTAGTATCAGAAAAATTATAAAATATCTATCTTTAGTCTTACATTATTTAACGCCACATGAATTTTATATGTACTTGTATGATGTTCTTATAGACTCAGTCAATCCTTTCATTTCGTCCTATAAGATTATATCTATCTTGTGTTATCAGTCTAGATTTTTCTAGATAAAACGATCGAATTTGACATCTTAATGTCTCACACAAGTCCCAATTTCTGTGAAAACAATAAGAACATCAATTTCTTTACAATAATTCTTGTAATGTTAGAGCTAATCCTTCGGCTAATCATGCGTAATAAATTTATATGGTGTTAAATAATGTAAGACTGAAAATAGATACTTTATAATTTTTATTCTGATACTGAAGACGACCTAACCTAAAGTCGAAATGTTTATCGTTATATTATCGTTGTATATGAAAAATAAATAGACTATTGCACTAATATCTTGCATTGGCTTTTTTATGATTCTTGAATAATTATTTTTATTTGGTCGGAAAGCCGCTATTATATAGAATTTAATATAAATAAATATTTCATGATATTTGTAATAAATATCTATTTATGATCTATCTAAGACTACAAAAATATTTACAGATTATGTAAAATAAGTTTAATATATAGAGTGATAAAATAAGTATTTTTGTACGCTCGGCATCTTCAGCGTGAGATAATTTTATTACTGGCTGATTTACCTAATCTCTTAACAGACAAATATTTTGAAAAATATTTTCGAAACCATTACACTTTTGTCTAAAATATTTTCCGTATCTTCCATATTTTTCAAAATATTTGTCTGTTAAGATTAAAATAAAAAGAGAAGAAAAATATTTTAAACAGATAGTGTGATTTTCGAGGAGGATATTTTTCAAGATACAATATTTGTTTGTTAAGAAATAAGGATGAATTATCCAGTATAAAATTATATCACGCTGAAGATGCAGAGCGTAAAAATACTTATTTTCATCGCTCTATATTTCCATCATGTTTACGGAACGATAGTAAACAGGCGATAATGGCAGTATTCACATACCTTGTCGAGATCTATCTCATCTTGAGCATTGAGATCCGGACAATTGAAGATGTTGTTCGTATCGATGGCATTACCCCTAGTCAAACCGGCGAATATCAACACCAACACGCACCACTTCATCGTTAGACCCCGAACTAATTAAACGCGAACCTTACAAAACCCAATTACGACAGGGCAATTAATACAGCCACTCGCGCGCGTCAGATCTCTCAATCTTTTGTACCGTTCTCGTACGTCTTTACTTACGCGCACGTATGTACTGTGCCCTTCCACGCGAATGCTCAGTTACATCTGTTTTATCTGCCGTTATCAATGTAATGTACTTTAAAGGAGATTTCTGCTCTTCACTTTCGCGTCTTTCACCATCGCCATTAAGCGATATTTCAAAGAGCTTCCAAATATTCTCTTTTTCTCTCAAGTTATATTTAAGTTTCTTTTTATTGAAACAGCAAAACGCTTCTTCGCGACAGCATAGCAATATCGTGAACCAAGTTGACCAGGTGACTCACGCGACTCCTTTCTGTTCAGCTCTCTCTCTCTCTCTTTTCCTCCCTCACTCGCCTTATCACTATTACACTATTTGTCCGTCCCGTTCTCGATGCCGAAGCGATTTAACTTAATGTCCAGCGCGCCTGTAGGCCGCCCCGCTTTTGACCCACAATGATCGAAGCTCCTTCAGCGCATCGTGCCCGATCTCTCGCGAGCGCCTCCACTTCTACGCACTTTGGTTCTCTTCAGATTCGTCCGCGGTTTTCGCAGCGAAAATCGGAGTACCGCGCATGGAAAAACGCGCCGCCGAAAAGCTTTACGAGCGTCACTTCTTCCAGATGTCCATCCTAAATCGATCAAGTATTTCTCGAGTGGTAGATAAAGAAATTTTTTCTCTTTTTACTCGAGAAAACTGTAAAGCGTGTTGTATCACTTCACTAAGAATCGAACGACGTCGCCGTTGACACGTAGCGATAACTTTGAAATCCTACGAACGATCGCGCGGAGCTCCTTCCGTAGATGTTCTCGGAAAAAGGACAATTTTTCCGAAGGGTATTCCTCTCACTGGTATAGTAAAATCCCCAATAATCAGACAGGACGTTTTCGCCGACGGATTTTCGGAGATAATTCCTGAGATACGGACAGAAAATACCGTAGCGATGTAATCGAGAGAAACTCGAAGGCGAGCTTCGTAATTCCGCGCGGAATGAGGTTCAGTTTCTCTCCCTCTCCGATCCGTTGGTCGGATTGCTGTACCGCCGTTTTCAATTTCCGTTTTCACCCTCCCCTCTCTCGTGGCTGCGAAAGCGAGCGGGCTTTCTCGGACAGTCGCAATATCACAAGCGTATCCACCGAACGATAGACGGATAAATGGATGAGACCTATAGATATCGTACTACTCGTTCCTATTCGCGTATGCGTATACGATCGCGTAACACGATTTGTAACACGTCACCGATATAGTCGCGATCTCCGCAGGGAGGGATGTGTACGCGACGAAGTCGGAGGGCACTCTGACGTTCCAGCTGCTCTGTGCTGCGCTGGTCCTCGTTCGGCACAGCACGGCACGCCACGTCCGTCCTTCCTCCGTCGCGACGCCAGAACGTAGCGAGAGAGAAGGAGAAAGAGAGAGAGAGAGAGAGGGGGGGGGAGGGAGGAGGGAAAACGGCGAATTACGACGGTGGGCGGAAAAGCGACGGAGGAGATCGCGAGGGAATCTGAAAACGGAGACAATATGGGATGGCCGACGGGGCTGTTACTCCCTGCTGTTCGCTATGGGACCATAGTCATCTCATGGTACCTAGTATCGCGCGATAAAGATGTTGCAAATTACGAGATACAAACGGGAAGGTGCAAACGCGGGTGGAATAGAAATCTGCGAACCTTTTGAAACTTTACTGACTGTACGCCCTATTTGCGCTACGGAAAGAATTTGAATTCTCTCTTTAAAAGAAACAGTTAATCTCCGTTTTGATCTAAAAAGATGCAGTTTTAAAAAATATAATTATTATATTTTATAAATAAAAAGTATATTTAAAAATAGGGATTATCTTCTGTAAGATATTCTGCTCTTTAAACATGAAAATGCGATAAATGCGAGCCTTTTTAAACCGAAAAGAATATTATTTCTGTGCGATGTTTCCTCCGTGCTAAAGAAAAATAATTTTAACTCAAACGATCTTATGACATATACAATTCATAAACATAGAGATAAGTGAAACATTTTTCTTTTCGAGAATTTCTTCCTTTCCTCACGGATTTACTTCTTAAGAAATAGCAGATAATTCGCCACAGACGAACGATTCTCTCATAGCCTGTTGCGGATAAAGCGACAAATTATGAGAAATTGACACTAAAATTTTAATTACATTTAATACGTTTCCTTATATAATTCTAATTTTTATATGCATACAATTTCATAATTTTTCATATGCTTACATAATGCTAATTTTTACATATTTATATCATTCTTTATTCGGCAAATGCACAGATATATGGGAAAGGAAAAAGATTACATGTGAAAAGAAAATTTCACGAATATTTCGAGCTTTACAGTTTCCTTGAAAACTTCTCCTTGAAACTTCCTCTTTCGAGTTTCCACAATACCATCGGGATCATATCGACCGCGCCAAATATCTTACACCCCAAATCGTACTCATAGAGCCACAATAGCCGAATCGGGATTCTGCTGGGCAAGATAGGGCTTTGAATTGACCGACATCTTAATGTTTCACGTCTTATTACGCGTTATCGTTCTGAAAAGTAGAAGAGCAGAGAACCATCATTGCCGCGATTGAAAATTACGCGATGATATTAATTTTGGAAAAAGTATCTAAGACGCAGCCATGACTTTCACACCTCTGAAATATATAATAATGAGAAAAAGATTAATTCGAAATCAAGCTTTGATAGAAAAGAAACGATTCTTTACAAAAAGATCGAATTAAAAGGGTCTTTGCTTAGAAAGATCGACTTGCACAGAAAAATCAGTTTGAGATCTTTTTTTAAGAGGGGTTGATCTTTTTAAAGAATCATAATAATCTTTATGAAGCTGTGATAAAATAGAATTTGCAAGTCGATCGACTTGCAAATCTTTTGAAACTACCTTTTGAAAATACGTAAATTCAATTTTTGTGCTGCTGAGAGGATTTGAGTTCTCTCTAAAAAAAAAATTAATCGTCATTTTATTTTATCTTAAAGAAACTGTATCGATCATTTTATATATTCTTTCCGTATATACATATTTATCTTCCTTTATTTATTTGCATAATTTATCTTTAAAGTGCATTGTAATTTTACAAGTCCAGAAAGATTTTTTGTTCCCGAAAAAAGTCTTTCGCATTTACGCTTTTGCATTTACATTCTTTTGCTTAGACGCGCAAATATTTCTCTTTGTAATTGTAAACCTTCTCGCTTCTCTTTTATATAAATGAATGAGTCTCTTGTACTTAATACATGTCTAATTGCGAAATCTAAGAGTGACAAGAAGTATCTCAAGGACAAAGCTGTAATCGTTAAACCGACAATTTCATGGTTTACAGAGCACAAAATGCAGCGAGATGAAAAACGCGGGAAAACGCTGGATCCGCAAAGAGATGTGTGAGCAATAATAGAGAAATGAGAGAGGAAGAGAGAATTGTACCGGAAACGGCAAAGAGGAGGATAGAGCTCGTGAAGCTCTGCAGACAAGACGATAAGACGTAAGAGAAACGAGGAACGGGACGCGGGGAATGAACGGTCGGAGCTGCGTCCATCGCCATCGTGGTGACCGCATCGCTACAATGAGTTTAATTCGTTCATTGAAACCACCGTATGGCGCAGTCCGCGTGCTGCCATCGTTGATAGAGTAGCAACGATGAGATCGTGAGCATCCGACTCTGCGAGCCAAGATGTCTGGAATGAGACAGAAGTGCACTATATATGCCAGTAGCTGTATAAAGTATCTAAGCAGGTATATGTCGCTTCCTAAGTTTTCCCGCTCTCATTGGCGAACCACGGGAGGCCATGTAGTCTCGTTTTTTATCTCCTTTTTTAAAAATATTTACAGCAAAATGTTATATACATTTTTAATATTTTTAAAATACTCACAATTTTAATATTCTAAAAATATTTTTTTAATTTAAAAATTCCTAGATGTAAAAAATAGATTTTATTATATTATTCTTTTTTTTTTGTATTAATATGATTTTAAATAAAACGTTTCATGAATCATTTAAATACTTTTTTTAACGTGATAATTTAAATAATATTTTAATATTTTTTATTATATTTTTTTATATTTGATCATAAAAAAAAATCTCACTTGAGGTGAATCAACTCCATTGACAAATTTCTGGATTCGCTAATGCCTGTTCTGCACACACTTGGGTATTACAAGTAAAGTACTTTTCACGTCGCTTAAAAGAGTAAAGCGTGTTTACACACGTGGAGTTTATTTATGTTTAATATTTTCATGAACATAGACCAGGCCTGTATAATTTTAACTCCGGAGCCAAAACACAAAGCCATTGACGCAAAGAAATTTAATGTGGGTAAAACTTCGGCGACTGTAAAGTGTTGATCGCATCTAAGTAACGCTTATTAACACTTTATAGTTCCTAAAATCTTACTCACATTGAATTTTTTTTACGTCGATGGCTTTGCGTTTTGGATAGGAGTTCAAATTGGACAGACTTGACATAGAGACTCTCTTGGGAAATGTCGAAGACCATCACGTTATTGCGAGATCTAATTGCGTTTTTTGCATAGCACGAAATAATAATACGCTTTGTATTAATGTAATGGGTTTATTTTGCATTTCGTAAAGATATTAATTACGTGCGTGATATAATTCAAATGTAATATGTCACGTGAGGCAAAATACTTGTTAGGAAGACGCTTGTAGATGGAGAATGCGAGATAATGGTTGCTTATAATATCTATTATATTTTATAATAGATATATATTATAAGCTCCTTATAATATCTATTATATTTTTTCAAAATTAATTTGTAATTTAAAAATTAATCTGCTCTTTTTCTCTTTTTTTAAAATCGTGTTTGTTAATATTGTATAAGTCTTTTTATTTTTTTCAAGTATTTTTTTCATGTCAAATGTCAATTAACTTCACAAGGATAATTAATATTTACAAAAAATTTCCAAAAATAATCATTTTCTGTTCCAATAATTGATAAAGAATAATTTCTTCCGAACATCGAAGAAATTTATTATTAGGATATAAAATTTTTAAAATTACAAATATTGAGCAAATTCTGTCACTAAATCAATAGAAATAATTGCCGTTTTTTTTTTTTTAGTACCTTAATAATCTAATATTTTAGCTGAATTTTTGTTAAAGCATTTTATATAAATAATTATTATTAATAACACTACACGATATTAACCAGTGTGCGAAAGTATAAACAAAATTCTTTACTGGATTATTAAACAAATTAACATTTCCCACAAAAATTTACAATTTATAATATTGCGAAATGTTTATAAAAATGTAAAACATTCGAGATATTTGAATAACTTCAAAAATGATTTTTATTGTATTATATATATATATTAAAAATGATTTTTATTGTATTATATATATATATATATTTTTATAATGTAGAATTAATTTAGATTACTGTGATGTATTGATGTCGATTAAAATAGAACCGTTTACTACAGAAAATTACCGTTTCCTAGTATTTGTTCGAAACAATCGATGTACTCGTAATCACGATATAAAAACTTTGTTAAGCTTCTCAGGCAAAAAGAAAACGAAGAGTCAAAATGCAATATCATCCTAATTTTCTACCATTCGGCTTACGGCATTATTAATTCTCCTCGTTTCAGAGACGTCACGAATTCTCGGCGGAGAACTATACTCCGAAGTTGTTAGCCCGTACTTACCGGAATGACGTGCTGTCAGTCTTGCCCTCCAAGGAGATCGATTGTTAACTCGGCGTTCGCAGCCCATTCCTTTTTGCTGGTCGACCGCGTTTCATAAGTTCACGAATGTAAGTATGACTAATCGCGCAGGGGAAGATGCATGACTCGTGAAAATAATTATGTACATATCGTGCGATACAACAATAATTGGAAATCTCGCAATTTAATTTTGCATTTTGTCCTTCACGCGACCTTCCTTCATTTTCGCGGCTGCATTAGCAGTAATATTTTATTATAGGATTAGCTGCGTTGCAAATCGAAGGCGTCCGTTTGCGCTTTTACCTCGAAAATCGTTTGCATCTTTCCGCTAAATGTCATCTCAGCTGTGTTTGGTATTAACATTTTTAGAGCCGCTCCACATTCAAAAATCAAGCTCATAAAGCTAATGCAGATTTTCGCGCCTAAATTAAATTCATAATCTGTATATTTATGATGTATCCAATTGATTCGTTAATACATAACGTACATTCTCTTTTAATACTTCTATTTTACAAATAGTGTATTTGAACTGTTATAATGTCAAACGTTCAAACAAATGCTATCAAATAGAAATTGATAGAGTACACTATGAGTACAATATTTAACGAGAAAAGTAAGTTTTTAATTATTTTCCTCTTTATGAATTTGAAGTTACATATTTAAAAACAAAGAATTTGCTAGTTAATTTTTAGATCAAAGCTTATATTGCAAATAGAATGTTATATATAGAATGAAATAAAATTAAACTGTATTAATATATTAAAGACTCTAATGAATATAAATCAAGTGACTTATAAATTGCTGAAATTTATTTTGCAATATAGTACTTTCTTTTAAGAAAACACACCTTGCATATGAGTCTGCTACATTTATGTGTAACGATCTATTTTTAGTATAAGACTATTATCAATTTCTAATAAAGCGAAAGAAATTTTCAATTAATAGGGTATTTTTTATTTATTCATAAAAATAAACAATTTCATTTTATAATCGAACCTTAAAGGATAGTTTACAATTCTGTAGCATTCGTAATTAATTCTTGGCACTCGGATTGTTTAAAGATCACATGATCAAGCTCGCCATCTACTAGCTCGCATCTCAGATTTACATTGCCGAACGCACCTATTATTATCAGATTTTGTTAACTGAAAACAGATTTTTCTTTCATTTTTTAAATAAAAATAATCCATATATAAAATGTTATTTTGTATATCGTTTTAGTTAAGTAGTCTACTTAACAAACTGCACTAAAATTAAACCGAAATTTAATATTAAAAATGTTTTTATTGTTTCTTTAAATTATTATCAATAGGAAATAAAAATCTAAAGATTTCTCCGAAAAAAGGAGCTAATAATCTTACTTTAATTTGGTTTAAACAAATAATAAACAATTAAAGGGATAGGAATCCGCGCAGAAAAGTGTGCAAATAATAATAATAATAATAATTAATACTTCAATAATTTACCGATAATGTACAATGTCTGAATCACAATAAAAATTCAAAAATGTTTATGTTGACAAATTATTAAAGTATTGATTATATACTTTGCATACTGTTTACTGCATCTATTCTTAATCATGCAATTGTAATTGTCTCTATTATTTGTTTGAATAATAAGTGTTTAATTTTTTGTTTGATTATTTATTTTGATTAAATTCTTGTATGGCTTTATAACGATTGCAAATGTGTAAAATGAAAATTAAACGGCGTATTTGAACGTAATATTCAGTTGCCTTTCTCGTCGACGTAATAATTTTTTGAGAGTTTAACTAAAATATGAATAAGGAATTAAGTTAAACGTGCTTGCGTGTTTGAGCCACACAATTTTGTTGCGCTGGACTGTTTGTCACGTGTTAAATATTTATGTGTCACACGCGCAATGCAGTCAAACACGACGTATTTGCCAATGATATTCGATGAATACAAAGCATCAGTATCGATCAATACCAAATTACGTTCCATCATCGAATGCTGCGTTGTTCGCTCTCAGCGTGAATATTTATATGCGACAATTTCATATTTTACACTTGCCCATTTCGTACGACAAGACTAAAATTACGAGCTTTACTAAATACTAATTAGAAATTACACCTCATGCATATTTTCCTCGACTTCGCGTTCTAAAAAAGGTACATCAGCAGCGAGATAGAATAAACTTTTTTATTGCGCTTTTCCATCAGTGTCGCGAAATTATTCAATATGGAATTAATAATGATTAGATACAGCATCAAACACGCGATGTAAACGCAGGATAACGCAATCGCTTATCGAAATTACGGCAAGAGTATGAAAAGCATGAAAATATGATAAGCTCGTTATATTATATGCTCTTCGGCATTTCGCTCATGCTCTCTCGCCAATCTCTCATCGAAATGCACTTCTTGCCTGCATTTCGCACAAGTGGATTAATTAAAGCAGGAGATTATCAACTGCGCTGAGTACTATTAAGGCAGTTTTAAAAAACGGGAACGTTTATGCGCGAGCATTAGTAGGGGTGAGATTTACAGTCGCAACGAGAACGTATACTAATTTTTTCCCGGAGAAGAGAATCCTCTTTTTAATAAGACACTCTAATGCAATCTGATGAGCTGAAGACTGAGATAAATATATTAGTACATAAAATTTTAACAATTCTAAGTAAAGACGATAAAAATAAAAAAAAAATAAAAATTGATTAAGATAATTCAAATAAAAGAAAGAATCCTGTTTATGATTGAAGCTGATGCTCAATAATATTCGTATGCAAATTTTTACAAATAAATTTTTCATCTCTATAAACTGCGCGCCGATTCGGTTTGTCGGACGTGAAACGCAAAATGAAATATTAATATCTCAAATTAGATTGATTTCAATCTTATAATGATGCGTTAATTTAATAACGATACTATAATAAGCATCTTAAAAACTTGCAAATAGAGAAAGAGAGAGAGAGAGAACTTATTATTTCGTATTCAAATCTAATTAACGCGCTCGGAAATTATAAATAATTAAATTTACAGTTGTAACTGGCAACAAACGGGATGTCTGCGAGAGTAGCAATTCAAATCTCGGTGCCGGTACGCTTATTTGTTCGCGGCGCGAACCGCTTATCCTGCTTGTCAGAATTTTATCAAATGTGCCCGGATATCACATGCGCGGGGATACCAATTAACTGTTCGAAACACACAACGCTGGCATACGCGATATTTCCTTTAACGTTAATGAACATTCGCGGTACGGGCGGGCAGAATTATTGTTACGTTTAGTTTAAAAATTATGTTCAACGATTAAATATTTGCTGTTATACGGAAAATGTAACTCGCGGAATCAAAACGCGCGCCTCGTGCATTCTCGATTTACCTCGCTAATGAAAGCTAAAGTTTTGTCAGACAATACTTGCGAGACCATTCACTTCATTTCCGTTATTACGTACGCCCGCCGCAATAAATCTGCTTGTTTTCATTATTATGCTGAACAAAATACCCGCGTTGGACCGACAAAGCGCGATCGTTGTAACGTTATCTTTTCTTTGATTAGTTATAATTTTATCAACGCGAAAAATGATAAAAATATACTTTGCACTAGCGTGCAACAAGGTATGTATTTAAAGAATTTATATCGAGATGGAACAATTATATTAACACTTTCTGAGGATCTATTTGGAACAGCTGCAAAATAGTAATGATAACGTAACAGCGTTTCAAAGAGCCTTTTGAAACCTACTACGTTGTATGCGTAACATTATGAATATTCGTCTCCGTTATTTTCCATGATATTTTCGCCGTAATAAAATTACGCCGCGCGTTGCTCCTCATTTTTCCGCCCGAGAATTAATACATATCGCGGTGAGAAAATTTATATCAAAACTCTTCGCAGAGGGAAAATTGTGACATATACTCAGGGACAGTCGCGTTAAAGTAGATTTTAAAATCCGTACAGTCAGTCGATCAATTGCGAACACTTTAATGAACCACAAGAGAGAAAGAAAGGCAAAGAGAGAATCGTGAGTGCGGTTAAGCCGACTTATTTCGTTCGGACTCGAGAGATCCTTCGAGTCTTTGTCTTTTTATTTACCAACGAGAGAAAATGTGCGAAAGAAAAGGACAATGATTATTTCTCCGTAAGTCCCCGACGACGACGTGAAATAAGAGAAAGATCGTAGTAACTGCTCGCTGAAACGTGCCGCATCGTCCTTGCAGCAAGTAGTACGAGTCGACGACGGGTCCGACCATTACTGCCGACGAAGAACGAGAGGGATAACGGCGCATCGTTCTCTCGCTTAAATTAAACTTGACAATATCTTCGACTTTGCCATCTCCCGTCCCCCTTTTTAATTTCGACAATACTCCACGGAGGATTCTGGGCCCGCGTTAACGAAGGAGTAACCGAATCGACGTATTCTCGAATGAATGTGAAACGGGTTTGGCGTTTAAGATATACGAAGTGAGAGAATATATTTAGAGGGTGTCCTGAAATTTGAGATCAATATTATTACAGCGTGAAACTTCGTGAAAAATTAACTAATGAAAGTGCATTCTATTTTTTTCCCGCAAGGTAGTTTTTTAAGTATAAATGTTTAAAGTTGGTTAAAAAGTCATTCGTCCGTCGTGTGACGTGCGTGCATTGGTATTAATTGTCGGACACTTCACAATCACCGACACGAAACAAAACATTTAATTAACGTCTAGGATTGGTCGAACTTTAAATATTTATATTTAAAGAACTATTTTGTAGAAAAAAATGGAATGCACTTTCATTACTTAATTTTTCACGAAGTTTCACACTGTAATAATATTGTCCTCATATTTCGGGACACCCTATATATATCGCGAGATTGAGATGGGATTATTTCAGCACTTGAACAGACTGCGCTCATAGTTGATTTCCATATTTACGACTTTCTGTGAAATAGTCCGAAAAACGCTTACGGTTTTATATTTCCAGAGTAAAATTTATAATTGTTTTATTTTAAAGAGATAATTTACTTACGTATATTAGGTATATTGCGTAAAAGAGATAGTTTGAATCCGATGGTTTCTTATTTTTAGAAGGAAGCGATACAAGACTAACGATAAAATATAGAGATGATAAAACTATAATTATACCGT